AAGAGACAGGCGGCACCCAGAGGAGCAGCTACAGTCACTGCGGGCACACAGTCCCTCTGTCCCCACCCTGACCCTTTCTGCAGCCCTCTCCGGGCATCGCTTCCAGACCGGTGTAAAGCTGAGTCCTTGCTCAGGCGCTTCTCAGCTCTGCCTCGCGTGCGGTCACTCTGAGGCTGCCTGCACCGACATACCGGTTATGCCTGGGAGATAATGAGTAGCATGGAGTCTGGCTGGCTGATAACCAAATTGTTAGTCCGAAGATGAAAACAAATTGAGAGGAGCAGCTCCTGCACCTTACCCGGTTTGAACAACGACTTTCTTTGCGTGCTTCCGTTTTCAGTCCTGTGGATAGAGCTTAGGTGGAGATTTGGGGCAGTAACGATACAATGACAACCAAAGTGCAAAAAGCCGGAGACACTGGGGCTTTTGGGGATACATGTAAAAATTATTGATATTATCAGTGTAACTTTTGCTTATCCTTTGCTTGTGCAATTTTGGCGTGTGTGGCCTAGTTTACCAAAATATTTAGAATGTTGTCACTGAGTTTGTGGCAGGACAAAGTTTCTGTGTGTTCATACAATTTTTGTGATTGCTATAAGCACTGTAATCCTAATTAGCATTAAAATAGAATTTAAATTTATTTAATCCAGATATGTGAACTAGTTTGGCGTTTTTTTCCCCAATGGGAGAGGAAAGAGCTGTTTTCTTGAGAAAGTTGAAGCGTGAGCATAACCATGTAGACTAGGAGTTGCTTTGTGCTGTCTTCTGCTGTGAAATACAGTTTGAGTTGATAGAAACTTCTGAAAATTTGATATTCGTGTGTATTTTGTGGAGCTTGGTTTGTGGATAGTTGCCAAAAGCTCTGAATGTTCTTACCTGTGTACCAAGTCATATGATTTCTTCATGACATCTGTCTTAAACATGCTCACAAGTCTTGTTGACCTTGGCAAATATGAAAGTGGGTTTTTTTGACAGGATGCAGGGACTGTATTCAGAAGAATGTCACCTGTTCTGGTTTGGGAGTCAGTGTATTGGTGTTAAAAACACTGCATGTTTCATAACTCCTTATTTTTAATGCAAGCAATACCGTTCAGGTGTTAAGAGGTGGGCAGGTTCTTAGTGTCCGATGCTGCAGAGAGATGCATCTACTGTGTATTGTCACTCTTGTATCAAGCTTATTTAGCTGCCTTTGTCTTCAAGTGAGAAGGGACGTTCTGCTCTTCTTTTCCTTCGAAATGTAGTCAGGAGTGTGTTTTCTGTTGTACTTACAACAGTACTCCTGCTGCCTTCTCTTCACGGGCAATACCTCGTCTGATGTATGCCAGGTTAGCGTACGTACTTCGTGGTTGTCTTGCTGCTCAGAGATGCCCTGATACTGCACACCCCACGGTTTCCCCTCCTCACTTCTGACCTGGGGATCCTGTTCAGTCCTGTGGGGGAGGGATGTAGCTCCTCAGGCTTAGTTTGTTTTGTGAGTTCTAGGATGCAGAGCGAGAAGGAAAAAAACTACTCTTTAAACGCCCAAAGTTACTCAAGGAGAAATTTGTCTATAGACACTGGAAAATCAGGTGTAAAGTGCTGAAGATTAATGCAGGGTCAAGTTTAACTTCTTTTGTGTGGTTTACAGTGTAGTCTTTAATTACATATGTCTGTATTTGTGTGCTGTAAGCTGCCTCCTTCAGTTAAGAGGGTAGTCTACAAACGAGCCACAAGGCCTTTTGCTTGCGTTTGAGGCAATAGCTTTTGGGCCCAGAAGAATCTGCACGTATGGAACTGTTTGAAGAGAAGACTGCACTTGTACGTACATGTTCTTTGCAAGGACAGCTTTAATACTGGTATTTTCTAACCTTGCTCAATACGATTTTAGTACTTTCTCTGTGTTGTAAGGTGTGTGCTGAATTTACTGTTTTGGTTAAACACTGTGATAGCTTCAAGTGTATTGTTGCTTCTGTCACAGTAAAAAATGATTGTATTTTTTGAACAGATGGTGAAACTGGAAGGATAAAGAATGACATCCTCATTGTTAGGGCAGGCTGATGAGAGAAACTGGTAAATCTTAATTTAGAAACAAAAATTCATGTATTTCATAATTCATTACAGGTTCCTGTGACTGTAACTTCTGTTCCGCTAACCAGTTGAAAGTTTCACAAAACATCATACCTCTGAATGACCAAGTCAGAATCATGAGAACTGTTTTTGATGATATCAGCTGTTTACTCCTATTAGTAGTAATGAATTTTAATTATCTTCGTGTTAGTGTCAGTTTAAATCAAATCTAACTCATCAGTATTAGCTTTCATTAATGTTGAGGACCTCATATCATGGGACAATGCTTTCTGCTTAAAAAACCCACAAACGATGGGACAGGAAGAGACGAGTCCTTAGGTTTGCTTCTGAAAGAGAAAGTAGTTGTCTTGGCTGTGATTTCGTAAGTCAACAAAGTTACAGTTGTCAGAATTAAATATCTATGGTCGAGTGAAAACAAATCCACATGGCACCATTCAAATAAGAAGCTTCAACTTAGATGTTTTCAGAATCATACAAATAATTTGAATGATGTAATTGAGTTAAGTACTTTTAATTCCTCCAACAGAAGAATATCAGATGTTCTCATAACAATATTATTGAGCACATACCATCTACTTTTAAAACTTGTCCCTGAATTATTTTAACTATTACAGCAATATTGAGTCCAGTGTACTGGCTGTTGTTTTGTGTTACTGCTATTTTAATTTTATGTCATTTCAAGTAATTTCTTACTGAGAGACTTAGTCATCCATCTGTGGACCAAGGAATTCTTTAAAATTCAGCAAGGAATTGGTTAGATTTTCTGCTGAATGTAGCACTTAGTTGTTGCTTGTTTTATACGCAGAAGTGGGTGTGCTGGATTCCATGTTTTTTGTTGAATGTGTTGGAATTTTGAATATTGGATTTTCTAGCTTGATCACACATTTAGGTGTGAGTTTTTATAAGGAGAATAAGGTATTTTGTACCTCTGTGTTCTTAAGAGATTGCTTGCACATAATCATGTTCTGGCTAAGCCTGCGAGGAACCTGAAGTTCCTCTGTAGACGGCTCATCGTTGTCTGTCTTAAGACCGGATCATAACTGTAGCAACAAAAGAAATTGCCAGATGTAACTTGTTAGTGGAGAAAAGAGGTCCTGGTCTTTGACGTTAGGTTGTGCTTTTTCAGCCAAAGGCATTTAGAAGCCAGAGCTCAGGGGGAGGTTCCTCCTGGCTGCTTCTCACTAACAGTGACAGCCACTGTTGCGTGGGGCTGTTCCTGAGGCCAGTGAGCTGGGAGTTAGTGGTGATCAGACTGTATACTCTTACCCTACCCCGAGGTAGTAAGTGGCTATTGTCGGGGCTGAGTTAGGGTAATTCTCCATTACTGTTCCTTGCTCTAAAGAGGGTTTGTTGTTAAGATGGTCCTCTTCAAAGAAAAACAAAAAGCTATTTGTTTAAGCACTAAAATGTGTTGCCTCACTCAGTTTTGTTTGGAATAAACTTTCTGTGTAAAAGAGTTCTCTGTCATTCTTTTTCAAGACCATGTCCAGCAGAGGAAGAGTCTGTTGTCCAGGTGGGTCATAATGCAGAATCCCACGAGTTGGTCCCTTCTACGCATGTGCTTGTAGCTGTCCCACCGTGCTTGGGAGGTACAGTCAGATTGTGGGAGTGTCACACAGACATCAACCGTAGGTGTTGTCACTCAGGTTCTGTAGATGGAAGTTGCTGCTGTTAAATGATCTAGACATAGTTTAAATGCATGTTTTTAAAATGCAAATTTAGAAAACCTCTCCAATGTCAGTATGCTTCTAAAGGCTTATAATATGCTTCTATAGATTGTGGTTTTTAACTCATATGGAGTCTTGATGCAGAACATGTTACACTAGCACTTCAAAATTGTACATTGATACCAAGTTCTGTTTCAGTAAAATAAAGTTGATAGAGTATGGCATCTGGGGAAAATAAATTGAAAAGTTAAAGTCAGTAAAGAGGTAGAGAAAACAACTCATGGTTTAATTTTTTTATAGAGGGAGAGGGCAGGGGTGGGAGGGAGGTGTGGCGGTAACACATCCTGTATTTGGGAACATCCTACAGGGCAGAGGCCTCATTGTAGCTCCTGAGAGATGGGGGAGAAGATAGATGGGCCAGAGTTCTTATCCAGCTCCACATCTTTCCTCTCTGGAGGTCTCTACCCCTTTGCCAGCTAAGTAGTCCTTTAGCTAGTAGAATGTTTACCTTCCTAAGAGTGCGTGTTACGTAATCGCCGTGTTTGTGTTGTGAGCCGAGAGACCCACGTTGGATCAGATGCCCGTAGGCACGCGGTATTGAGGTATTGAGCATTTTAGACTAAAGCTTTGCAGAGACACCATTTCTTATGACATTAAACATGCCATTTCATGAACGTTGCAGATCATGTGTGTTTGTGGATTGTGAGAGTATAAATCTGAGGGCCCTGTAAGTGTGGAGGAAGTTGGTCTTTCACAGACACTCGGTAAATTCTGTGCTCCTAAGGAGCAACCTTTATCAGTCATGGAAATGACATTTCAACCTGCATCATGTTTGTTGTCTGGATTGGGACTCTTACTGGTGCCGGAAGAATAATTGTTTGGAAGAGACAACTGGAAAGTAATCTGTAACTCATTTCTAAACTGAACAGTACTGTGGATTATTATCTTAAGTGCTGGCTTTCATCTCTGCTGAAAATAATTGAAATCTTCAGAATTTAAATATTACATCTTTAACAATTGTGTTGTATTTGATAGGGCACATTTTGTAATTTCAAGATACATATGATTGTAAAATTGGCCAGTTTTTGATATGAGAGATTACAGAGTGAAATCTGTTGCCAGTTAATGGAAGTGTTCAAAGTTCTGTTCATGAAAATGTTTGTTTTGTTTGGTGGTTGGTTTTTTTTTTTTTAGTGTTGAGGGGTGTGTTTTGGGTTTTTTATTTGTTAGGATTAATTTGAGGGTAACAGTACTCTTAATGACTTCAGTAAGGGTGTAGGTATCATTGCTCGTACAAGGAGGGCATGCAGGCCCTTAATTTTTGTTTTTTATACATTTTAAGTAAAATCTGTGTCATAAAGTAAAAATATAAAAATGTTTGTTTTCCTTCCTCCTAATCCCTCTCCTCACTTTTTTTTTTTTTGCTTTGGTTAATGATAAATCAACAGTTTTAAAAAACAGTTTCTGTTAGAAAACATGCCCCTCTATTTCCAGACACAAGCTGTTGCTTTTTGCTGAAGGTTTTGATAAAAATTTATTAACAAAGCAGAACTAGCTTCCTTTTAATGTCATGAGCTTGTGAAATGCATGCAAGCATACTTCACAGAGTACTTGTGTTCCTTTTTTTAGAGGTCTCAAAAGCATGCTCACTTTAAAGGAGACAAAATCTGCTGTCCAGACAGACACATTTGAGCATTTATGAATTTCACTGAAGTCTAGTTTCTATTAGTTACCTGTTGGTATTGCACTGGTTTTGCAAGTATGTATTTAGATAAATGCTTTTAGTAGAATTACGCCAGGTACATGAGGAATTTTGCTGATTTGGATTTATGCTAAAAAGGAAGATTAAAATTAAGAATGTCTGAGGATGATTAATCCCCTGTTGAATGTACACTCCTGTACACCGCTTGCACTGCTGGGTGTTGCCTAAAGCTTTCTGAAGTGCTACCACTATAGTTTTTGTTTTATGCATGCCTACCCGCCCATGGAGGTTACATGCTCTTAGCAAAAGGGACTATTATTGCTAAAATAATCATATAATTTAAAGATTACATCTTTTGTAAAAGGGAACATAGAATAACATTTTTGCATACTTATTAGAAGGAAAGTGTTAACTGACCGACAGAGCCCAGTAAAATGACAGAGGAAAATATTTGCTATATGACTTGACTCTCTTTTTTTTGTTGTTGTTGTTGTTTTTTGTTGCAGGTATTAAATAAAATATGCTGTTGTCAATAGGAATGCTGATGTTGTCTGCCACTCAGATATACACTATTCTGACTGTTCAGTTATTTGCTTTCCTGAATCTTTTACCTGTGGAAGCAGATATTTTAGCAGTAAGTATATTTTTCTACATAGGTGAAATCTGTATAAAATTGAATCTTCTTTTAAACTATTATATTAATGAATCAGTTAGTACATTAAATGTTATAGCAGGTTGCTTGGAATGGAATTGCCTTAACATTTTAGTTCAATTAAAAAAAAAAAGTTTTCAAATGAGCTTACAGATGATGTCTGCTCAGATACCAAGACAGTGAAAGCACTTAATTCTCTTAGTCACTTAAAAAGTTCCATCAGACCAGACACCCTATAGCATGTTATAACCCTGTTAAAAGAATTCCTTGTTTTTTTGGTTTAGACAATTTAAGTTTTGGTGATGGATACTATTTTGTAGGGTAACTGTTTATAAACAAATAAATAATCTTCTATGTCTAATGTACTTTATGTGTGCACTGGAGGCCTTGGCAATAAATTTTTATGTATATGTTATACCTAGATATATTTTTGAAATAGCTGACAATCTCTGCTATCATTAATAATAGTATTTTTGGGGTGTGTAGAATGATCAGGCTAATAAACAGAATAATGAACATAGGGTCAGTGTTAAAAGTTGTTGCTGGGCTATTTATTACCAGTTTGATATATCATGTAGTTTTGTGGAGGAAGTTTTATGTGTCTTTGTAGGATAGAGCTTTAGTCACTGAAATAATTAAACGTAAGTACTGTGGTCTCTATATTCTCTGCTCGTTACAGTGGTAGCTGGGGAAGTCGTTATGATATCAATTAATTTAGGAGAACAGTGAAAAATCCTTGAAGCTAAATGTTGAAAATACTTTAAAGGTTGTGATAATATGGATTTGATGAATACTGAGTTGTTACTTGGATCTTCGGGTTGTTACTATTCTATTTTTTGTAGATAAAAATTTCAAGAAACAATGCAGATAATTTCTTTATTATAGAACTGGCATCACCATTCTGTTGTGAAATTTCTACTGTAAATCTGGTTGCCCTTCCCTTTCCTCTGTCACCAAGCCTGTGCTTCCTCTTTTCATAAAAACCCTCTTAATTTTCATTCTTGCTACTTCCTCTCTCAGACAAGATACTTTAAAAACAAAACAGAAATCCCCACCAACTAACAAAAAGGAAAAAAAGGCATGTTGGAAGTTTAATTTCTTCTATTTAGTTTCCATGTGCAGTATTCTAAACTAATTCAATCAAAAAATGAAGTGTCTTTTATTCTTGGATATTTGGAAGTTACAGATCTATTCTGAAAATATCTCTGAAGTAGGAAATGAAGAGATGAACTGGACACTTACAGCGGGTGGAATGCTGCAGAGGTCCTTAGAAGAGGGAATGTTTGTGCACTGTGTCACATGGAGTGAAGGCATACAGATAGCTTAGTCTTGAGAGATTTCCTGGTTTAATGATTGCCTGTTTGGGGAGCAGAATTCCAGCTGAAGTTTTGGGTTCACCAATGAAAGAAATTCTTCTTTTCCCTACTGATTTAGGTGTGGTTTTATGCTTTTGTGTTCTCACATAGTTGCAGGCTCAAGTGAATGATTGTTTGTATGAAGTAGTTAGGTGTATATGAACCACGATTGTTTATTTTTAAAATAAGGGATAAGAATAAATCGGTTTCTGTCTGACCCCTAGTTTAAGCTGGGGCTTGCTAAGTGGAAAGCTAACAGTAGCATGAGCTCAGGAAGGACGTTCTGAAAGGGGGAATGTGTGCGAGTAGTGAGGATGGAGGAGAGCAGGGTGCTGGCCTAGAGCTGGGCTTTGCAGTGGTAGGGTGGGAGATCAGGAGATTGATTGGAGCACACAGAACAAAAATGCCTCCTTCAAATTTAGCTCTGTTTCTACCTTTTTCCCCTCAATTTTAATAAAGTCTGTGGGAAGGAAGCTCCTTTGAAAGAGTTGAGATAAATGATGGTAGTGTTTGTCTTTGAACTGCAGTTGGAGTTCCCCCTCCGAGTCTGGCTGTTAGGCGCTGTCCCTCTGAAATAAACAGTCCTTACTTGACTGTTCTGTGTGACAACGGCATGACACAATGAGTAAACAACTATTTCTGAGTCACTGGATTATTTGATAAAACTTAGCAACTGATGTGCATTCAAGTCAGTTACTGTACAGCTCACAACTTCTGCAGAAAACTAACTTTTTTACTTCTAACGAAAAAGGTTCTAGCGTACGTACAACTTTTTATTGCATGGCTTCTGCATTGGTTAGGCATATCACTTGGTAAAGCTACAGAAGATGAACAAGGGAAGGGGAAACAAAGCTTCCACAGATTTAAGGTCTTTATAGTATTTCTCTGTTTTGAAATGAAAGCTTATAGTTAGTATAAAACAAAGCTGTAGAGGTAGTTTTCAACTACTAACCTAGATAGATAATTCAGAAGGGATAACATATGGAGACTATTCTTTGCCTACAATAAACCCCTTGTTAAAAGCTGTTCTTCCCCATGCAGAGCAAGAACACACCACACCCAAAACCCCAGCTCTTCAGATTTTTGGTGGTTTGGGTGGTTTATAGTTTCTCTTCTGCAAATATGATGGTATTTGAATTGCAAACAGTAGAAAGAAAGATTTAATGAACAGATAATTTAACAAAAGATCTGTTACTTTATGGTTTTGACAACTAGATAAGAAAAGATTGGTGTTGCCATGTGAGTGGAGGACAAGTGGAAGAAGCAATTTTGTGATTTCATTGATGTTGTCACAAGAGGTCCTACATCTGATATTTTAATCCAAAAATATGCAGTGTTGTTTTTTTGTTTACACTTGTTATCTATTTCTCTCTTGTTGCAAACCTGAATTTTCTTTAAAATTTATTTCTCTTAGTATAACCTTGAAAATGGAACTCAGACCTTTGATGATCTACCTGCTAGATTTGGCTACAGACTCCCAGCAGAAGGCTTGAAGGTATATGTAGAGAGAATATCTGCTGAACACTTGTTCTGTAAGCTAAAAAAGGTGAAAGTTGAATGAATATAGTGCTGAGGCAAAAAATACAGAACTGATTCATCTACTGCTCAAACAAAGAAATGTACAAAAAGGGTCTGATATGAACTGTTGCCTGTGAATAGGAGATTTCTTTCTTAAGAAGAGAATTTTGAATGAATGCAGCTTCCATAGGCAACGATGAGAAGGCACGTATAGTTGTTTACTGACTATATTGAGAAACAGAGGGTGATTAAGTGATTTACCCAAGTAGTGAGCCAATTTAATAAATCAAAAATAGATATAAGGAGCTTTGATTCTAACCTTTTTAACTGGTAGGCAGCTCTGTGTCTTAACTAAGGTGGATATTGTCACCTGTGTAGAAATAATGAGTTTTAGTCCTGAATATAATACTAAAATTTTTTGTTTGAATTAAAATTTTAATTATTTTGAGAAAAATGTTAATGATATTGTTGGAATAGGTTGAAAATGGTACTTTTTTCAGTGTTTATGCTTAAGATTTGTTAATATGCAACTTATAGAATCTGACTGACTGTGGTTTATAATAACTGGTGCCAAAGCATAAATGTAGGTGCTTTATTTCTTGACTTATGTGCTGTAGTCATAAAGAACAACAGTGTCCTTAGAAGAACAGCTCCACAATTAAAGGTGTTCAAGAACATGTGGTAGCTTTAAGAAAAATCCAGCCTAGTCATAGTTAGCCTTTGGTTTTGCTGTATGTGTTTCTTGAGCTGTAACATGGTGATGTGTGATTTGTGTGAAACTTCTGTCGAATACGGTTGGTTTCAGACATACCACTCTAGTTAAAAAAGAGTAAATGCTTTGCGTGGAACTCCATGATGTAAGTAGTGTTTGCTGTATGAATCAGGAGCCTTGGGGACCTAAATTTGGCTGTCAGCAAATCAGTGCAGAACTTTGTGGATATTGCTTTTAATTGTTATAGACTGTGTAATGTTGTGCCTGTCACCATGAATGTGGCAAAGAACAGATTGCTGGTGCAGCTTCTCTGCCAAAAGGGATATTATCATTACAAAAATATATTCCTCAAACCAAAATTGCTTTTTCTGTAGTTGAATCTTTTTGAATAATATATATTTATGGATAAAAGGTAATATACATAAAAAGTACATTTTAAGTGACAGTTTATATATATAAACTGACATATATTGAAACTGACAGTTTATATGTACATTTATATGTAATTATTATAAATAATATTCTACGCAGGTGATGGTGTCTCACTGTCTAAAGCTGTCTGAAAACTGAGAGTTTAAAAGATCTGTATAGAACTGTATCAATAATTACTTGAGCCCACAGCAGTGTAGCTTCTCATGACCTTTATTTGCATAAAACAAATTACTTACATTCTTATTTTCTGGCAATTCACTGCTCTTTATCTGTATGATAATTGCTCTAGCTTTGAGACTGATTTCAAAAGTGTGAATCTTGTAGGAAAATATTCTTATGTCAAATGATAGTGCATTGCATTAGCATCCAGTAGCCTCTATCACGCCGTGACCTTACTGCACAAACACCTGATGGAGAAGTGAGCGTGGGTCCTCTGAGAGAAGCTGTAGAATTTTTCAGATGTTAAACCATGAGGTTAGGAGAGTTTCTACTCCAGACACTTTTAGTGATGTACTACTAACTCAGTCACCTAAAAAAAAAATCCAAAGATTGCTTCAAGGTTGATATTGCCAGAATTTCCTACTTCTGTGCAGCATTTCTTTTGTCTGTAGCAGATGTGATGATCTTTAGTCTTTGCTTACCACAGTAAACCAGCTATTTTGTGTGCTAGTTCAGTGTTGATTTCACAGACCGTTCTTTGGGTTCCCCATTTAACTGCCAAGTACTAAGTTTGTGATAGTGCTTCCTGGCCTATTAGACTTCAGTTTTCTTGATTAGTCTCCATATGTCTTAGGATAACAGTTCCACAATATTAATGTAGCATATGCAGTCCTCTTTATGCTCAATTATACTGCAACTTCCGAGTTATGAACTTCAGATGATGTAATTGGAAAAACTATTTTCTTTCTAGTTCTTTACAGACATAAAGATTTTGATGAATCAAAATAAACAGGGATGTAGCAGAAATCTTACTATGATACAGGACTGAGTTGATAATAAGAATTTATTTAGCTGTTATATGAAAATTTAGTTTTCTGTCCTTATACTTGTCTGCCAACTAAGACGAAGATAAATTAAGGTCTGGTTTCTGTTCCTGTTTTCTAGGGATTCCTGATAAATTCAAAACCAGAAAATGCATGTGAGCCTATAGCCCCACCTCCACTGAAAGACAACTCATCCAGTGCTTTTATTGTGTTAATTCGGAGGCTTGAGTGCAACTTTGATATCAAGGTAAGATTTTTTTTTTAAATTATTTTTTCCTCTTAAAGAATATACTGGTGCTTTAGAAAAGTATCTATAGCTAACAGCAGGATAGATACTGATGTGATGGGAAGGGAGAATTTTATTGTCTACAGGCAGATAAAGCAGTGTTGTGATATGATTTAGTTCAAGATACCTGTTTGTGAGCCAGCTTATATGGCAAATAAGGATGATGGATGCTGCAGTTTTATAATAAAAACATTCAGTAGTGGTATCAGCTTTTCTTGGCAGTTATCCTCTTTGCTGCCAGGGGTCACAGGGCCACAGGGGTCACTTGCATCATGTAGGAAGCACCTAATTTTCTGCCTACATAAAACGCTTGTTCAGCAAAACAAGCATCATGTAAAATTGTACTACATGTGGAAAAACTGGAGTGGTCTGGGGTTATATGTAGTTGAAATAGATGGTACCTCGCTATATTAAAAATGCCTCTTCAGGCACAGAAACTAGCGAATACATCATTACACATGACATCATTTTATGTCTGCACTATGGATATTTTCTGTAGTGATGGCCAAACTGGCCAAACTCACAATCTGGCGTTTCTGTTTGCATCTGAAAATGAGATTTTGGATTATTTAGTACTGGGATTTCTCAAGATGTCTGCATTTTTCCAATAATGTTCTGCTGTTGGGAATGCAGTTTTTAGGAATATGGAGAGAGAATCTGAACTGGTGACCTGCTGGGGCACGTAACTGAGGAAAGGGTTGGTTGCTGTTTTCTGGTAGTGGAGTGTTACTGTGCATTAAGAAATCCCTTCCTGAGCTGTACCATACTGCTTAGATAGATCTTAAAAACAGGTTAGTGCTTCGGTTTTGGTACTCGATTAATGTTTTTGTCTTTGAGGCCCTGGGGAGGAAGGGTGAAGTTGCAACTTCACAATATAATTGAATGGGCAATTGCTTCTGCTTTTTGCAGTTCCATGGTGTCCTGAAGCCTGTGCTCATTCATGGCAGCATGTGCAGAAGGTGCCTGGCTGCGACTGTGTTCATGTCACTCTTCACTCGAGTGACCTTGTGTCAGCTGAATGTCTTGTAGGCATATTTATGTGTGGCTTTACACAAACACCATCATTTAATAATCCAATAATTAAACAAAGGTCCTATGTTATAAGTAAGTGCAAAAGTGTGTAGGGAACTAACCATTTCCTTAAGTAATATAAATTATTTATTACCTGTCCTGGATGACATATTTCAATGTGTAATGGCCAGTTAAGAAACATCTATTCAGGACATGATGTTAAAGAAATAAAACAAGAAACAGAAAACCCAAATACTAGATAGAAAATGTCACTGATAACCATAGCACATGAAGATTAAGAACCTGTGATAACCAGGGAGCTTTAAAGCTCAGATCCCTCCATGAACTTTTGTATTCTTCTCTTCATTATTGTTTCTTGAGAAATGCAGAGTGTGCATATGTGTATATATACATACACATTTTCCCCTTTCCTGATTCTGAGGGTAGAGATCTTGAAAAAGAGCATCAGAGTTTTCCCCTGGGTTTTTCAGGTAGTAGTCTGTTGTAAAAGAGAGCTGGTGGTGATGTGTGGATGACTTGGTGTAGGACAGGGTTCTGTAAGATTTGTTTGTGTGTATGTTTGTGCTCATGGTGCTGTAGTTGATATTTGTTGACTGATAAATAAAGCTGTTGTGATACTGTAATATCCAAAATGCTGCTACTGTTCTCCAGTTTCAAAGGTATTCAAAACCTCTGATCTTCTGTTTACTAGTACTTAATGGTTGGTTGTTTGCCTGTTGCATTTAAGGAGACTATAATGCAAATACATTTGTATGTATCTAAGTGGAAATAAAAGCTGTCACTGTGTCCCATGCTAGCTTAGCTCAGAGCAAGTCTGTCCAGCTGTAGTCAAGCCTATTGTGTAGTTCTCAACAGGAGTTGAACACAGGGTGAAACCCAAATGTTCCTCAAGGTCCTCTAGTACTTTTTGCATCTTGTGATGAGTTCCTATGCTGTTGTGGATGCATTGGAAGCGGTATCTAAGATGAATAGTTGTAACTTACGTTTGCGTTGGGGATAGTCACTGCAGCAAATGCCATTTACATGGCCCTTAGGCTTCTTTTGTATTGACAAAAAAGCCAGTATATATGAAAAGTGTAACTGATACAAAATATAGTTTTGTACCCATATTTATAATCTTGTACTTCTCCATGTGAAAGCTTCTGATACTTGGGCTGTCAAGTAAGGCATTTCCACATCTCTAAAGGCACAGAAAAGATACTCATGTGACTCCGTGAGCTATCAAGTGGTAATTTCTAGTTTACTGAAGTAAATTAGTGCCTTGGTTTTCAATTATGAGTAAATATTATTTGTATCTACCCATAGAAAGTATTTAATCCTGGTTTTAATATATATAAAAACTGTCTGTCTGCAGATAATATTAAATTATTTTTCCAGAAAAATAACCTAATTACACGAGTATAAGACTAATTATATGATTTTATTTTGAAAGGTGACACTTGTTTTATAGGTGCAGATGATCATAGAATCACAGGATGGTTTGGGTGGGAAGGGACCTCAAAGCCCACCCAGTGCCACCCCCTGCCCCAGGCAGGGCCACCTTCCACTAGCCCAGGTTGCCCAAAGCCCCGTCCAACCTGGCCTTGAACCCTTCCAGGGAGGGGGCAGCCACAGCTTCTCTGGGCAGCCTGTGCCAGGGCCTCACCCCCTGCACAGGGGAGAATTTCTGCCTTAGATCTCATCTAAATCTCCCTCTGTCAGTTTAACCCCGTTCCTCCTCATCCTATCCCTCCCCCCTGATGACGAGTCCCTCCCTGCTTTCCTGCAGCCCCTTTCAGCCCTGGGAGGCTGCTCTAAGGTCTCCCCGGAGCCTTCTCTTCTCCAGCTGAACCCCCCAACTCTCTCAACCTGTCCTCACAGGGGGTGCTCCAGACCCCCAGTATCCTCGTGGCCTCCTCTGGCCCCACTAATGATGTTGCTCTAGTATCTATAACTTCCTGAAAGTGTACCTCATCTTAGGATAGACAGGTTACTGTACTTTGAAGCAGTAGTCTTTCTAATAAGTATTTTGTATGGCTTGCAGGTTTTAAATGCACAGAGAGCTGGATACAAGGCAGCTATAGTTCACAATGTTGATTCTGATGACCTCATAAGCATGGGATCCAACGACAGTAAGTACAGGTATCACTTCTTCTCTCCTGTTTGAAATTCATTTCACCCACTAGAGTGTACAGTATTAAAATTAGGATAAAGTATTGTGATGAACTCTGTCTTAAAAAATAAAATCAAAGCAAACCCAAAAAAAACAAAGCACCACCCCCCCACCCCCAAAACTATCACCACCACCAAAAGAATCAGAAACAAACCCACCCCAACCAGAAATACTCCTACTTTTAAAGTTTTAAAATGGGAGATGTTTATGTAAGAACATAGATGTGTATTTGTGTATTATTTGTGGCTTTAAGTTTGTACATTCTCTGAGTGTTTCTTCTGTTTTCCCTTTAAATTTTTAGTTCAACTGTTTTGGGTTAAATGGTTAAATTTATAAGATAGATATCTAAGATTATTAAATATATGACTGATGTGGAAAATAGCTGATGTGTTGTTAATTAAGTAGAAATATAGGAAAAGTGAAAAACTAGTATTTTAGAAGGAAATCAGACTTTAAAATATGACTTCTTTTAGTGTTAGCGGCTCCATTTTGTTACATTGCTGTGTACATTTTTCTGTTCCTTTAGACAAGTGGATTCTAATTTCATATGAATATATGTTACATGTACGTATTTTCAGTTTTTCAGTTGGAAAAAGAATGTTTAGAGACCAGTGTGCCATTTTCTGATTGATTCTGATGCTAGCTGTTTGGATTTTAACCTTTCGTGGGGTGAATATGTTCAGAAGCTCCTGTAATCTAGTCAAAATCATGGGGTTTGTTTCATGGTATGTCTATAGTGCTGTTATGACTTTGTGGCATTTCTTTATTTTGTCCAGTTCTTGAGCTTGCTCAGTATGGAAAAAGAACCTATATGAGAACAAAAAAAGTCTTTCCAAATGGAAACACCACTGAGTAAACTAGGAAATGAACCTCCAGCAAACAAAGTGGCAGCTGGGTATCCCAGAAAGCTATGTGAAAATGATCTTAATGAATTCCCAGCCCATGTGAATCTTACTTTCAGGTTTCACTGAGAAAATGCTAAACAAGTTCACAACAAATGCAGGCTCGGGTAGCGCAAGGTGGTGTTAAGCCATGTATGCTTTGGCCTCTGGGAACTGGGATGCTTTGATACTGGCTAAACTCAAGACACTTTGACCCTTACATGGGAAGCATAAGTCAGAGGTTCAAATCAATATAAAGTGAAACTGAGGAGAAGGTTTCCTAGAAAATGGGTTCTGTCTTTCAGTAACTTTTCATTTGTGCTGCATCTTTTGAGCTTGTTATTGCTTTCACTAGCAAGCAGAAAAGGAGGACACAGTTCCATCCAGTTTCTTGAGACTGAAATAAAGATGTGGGATTTGTTCTTTCTCTTCTTTTTTTTTTTCTTGTGACCTTCTCTAGCCACAGCTGTTTCCAGTGTGTTCACTTATGTTTAGGGTGAAAAGGAGGGAAGAAAGATTAAATAAATTTACAGTACCAGATCACAAAATAAGTTGCCAGAAATTCTGGAAATCAGTGGAGCTGTGTGACTTGATAAAGTCTCTGAGTAAGAATGATGTTCTGGTTAAGCTTACTCTGATCATACATCCTTTTTTGTAAAAATAGTTTGGTTTTATGCTCCCTTTAGATATTCCATTAAGAATTTTTATTTCTCTACCTGCAATGAAGTCCCTAAATATTTGGTAGGAAAACCAATACCACTTCTTAAATGGTGGGTGTGTGTGCCAGTCTATATGTCATTACATTACAATGTCTTCATGTTCTGATAGTCTCATAATGTTCATGTCTTATGTCTTAAGAGTGCCAAAAGAGTGTTCACATAATAACAGTTTTATTTTCCTGCTTTGTTTGTACAGTTGAGGTTTTAAAGAAGATTGACATTCCTTCTGTCTTTATTGGCGAGACATCAGCTAATTCTCTTAAAGAAGAATTTACTTATGAAAAGGGGTGAGTTACCTCACATGCAGCTGTGTTACTGCTTGCATTAAGTCATTGCCTCTTTTTAATATTTATGGATTTAAAATAGGATGTTGTGATGACAGAGAATGTGGGTATTCCAGGTGAAATCTTGTGCCTGAGAGCAATGGGCAGAAAGTGTTTTAAAAATTAATACAAATTGCTTTTCTGCAGTAGGGTTACCATATATTAACATTACTCCTTGCATGTTCATGTAGAACAAACATACAAGTCTTGCTAATGATCTGGGTGTCACAGAAATGTTTGTGAGAGTATGTGTGTTTCAGATCTAAGGGTGTGTTCTTTTTACAATGTATGTCAGTTCCCATTGAAATCAGGTCCTGGTCTTAAAACAAAAAAAAAACAAAACAAAAAAAAAAATCCTTTAGTTCTAGAACAAGTTTGAGAACTTCCTATGCTAGGTGAATCAGCAGGGTGCATTTAAGATGATTCTAATGAGGTACATGATTAGGTTTGTGCTGCCTGTAAGTTTAAAACTTTAAAAAGCATTGCGAGAACAAGATGGTTAAAACACGTACCTCGACTAGGATGGAAAAAGAGGTGTGTTTCCTATTATTCATCTATTGATCTTGTTTCTTCAGGTCTCTCTGACGTCCTTTCACTAAATTAATCAGAACTAGATTGTGTCATTCTTAAGTAGATACCTTGCTGATTAAACTTTGTCAAGTGTGGCTCCACATGAGTCGTGGTTTTAGAACTACCAACACTTTCATAGGTTGTACCTTCTCTGGTGCTTCTGACTGCTCGTACCAACAGAATAATAATGGGATTCTACTTCCTTAAGTATCAGTAAATACTAATATTCAGATACGCAGCTGCCAGCATCCATACCAGGTTCCCTAGGAAGATTTATTGCCTCTCCAGAGGACAAAGGGTGCAGCCCATCATGCTTCATGACTTGAAACTAAACCTCCTGTATAAGCCCAGATGTTTCAGTAAATGATGATTTCATAGTATCTTTTGAAGGTCATGTTAGATTTTTCTCATTCTGCTATCAAAGCACCTATGAGGTGGTTTTCCTGGTTGCTTTAGATTTGTTGATGACTGAAGTCAGTAAGTAGTTTTAACTCCTAAAATGCTCTAAGAAACATTGTTTTATCCTTTTATTTAATTGGCTTTACATTATGTAGATAATACCTGAATTTTCTATGTTGTTGTGCACATAAGTATTCCTTTTAGTGTGTTTAGTGATAGCCTTTCATTTTAATGGTTTTTTTAATTGTATTTGTTCTTTAATTCATTGGTCATTAAATTCTAACCTATTTAGCAAGCATTATCTTTTTGTCCCCGCAGTGGCCATGTTGTGTTAATCCCAGAATTCAGTCTTCCTTTGGAGTATTACTTAATCCCTTTTCTAATAATAGTGGGGATCTGTCTTATTCTCATCGTCATATTTATGGTAAGTTCCTTCTTTTAATAACGATTTTTCTTTCAGACGTGAGATCCCAGAACTGTCACTTACTGAAGTGAGATGAAGGGGTACAGTGAAGGAGCAGTGAAAGCCTTGTGTACTGTGCACACCTGCACCATGCTTACCTGGCATCCCATATTTTCTCAGTACAATAAACAGGTGCAGAGTTTTGACAAAGGGATGTCGGGAGCCCTTAGGGTGTTCTACCTGGCATATAACTACTTACAGAGAATTGTCTTGCTGCTACCATTCTGCTGCACAAGCGCTTTTTTGCCCCATGAAGGATGACAGAGTGTGTCCAACCTCACCAAACTCATACTGGTTAATTAACGTTAGTCCCTCTGTTCCACAGTGAGGTCTCGCCAGGTTTTACTGCAGATACAGTCATCGGTCAGCAAGCTCAGAACCTCTTACAGTAGATAGCACATTATGACTAGGAATGACTATATCAGTTCCTAGTCATTGATATAATGACTTCAGTGCTGTCATCTTCAAGTCAAGAAGTGAACTGAGCTACAGGCTAACTCGGACCAATCGCTTCAGCAAGGAGCTAGAGTACATAACAAACACAAGGCTAATCCCTCTGAAAGGCCACCTCTCCTTGAACTGCAGATGCCTCCCTCACTATGAAAACAGCAGTTTTCTGCATCAAAAGTGGCATTGAAAATATTATAGGAGTGAGATTAAAAAATTTGTGAAGTGTTTGTCTTTAGGGAATAAGGGGGTTCTTTTAGCAGAAACTATAGGATCACAGAAAGGTTTGGATCAGAAGGGACCTTTAAAAAAATCATCTTGTGCACCCCACCTGCCCCCTGCCATCAGCAGGGATGTTGTTCACTGGATTAGGTTGCCCAAAGCCCCGTCCAGCCTGTCCTTGAACCCTTCCAGTGATGAGGCACCCACAGCTTCTCTGGGCAACCTGTGCTGGAGTCTCACCACCTGCATCATAAAAACTTTCTTCATTATATCCAACCTAAACATACTGTCTTTCAGAGATACCGATTCTTTTAAATTTGCCTTTTAAGAGCTGGATCTCTTTGTATCAGCATGCTGATAGTCATTTTTTACTTAATATGTGAATTTGAGAGTTGAGGATTCCAGATAAAATATATAGGCAAGAACCATCTGTACATTCCAAAAGGAATAAACAGATGCTAGGTAGGATTAGCTATGAGAGGGGGAAATAAACATTTGGTGAGGAAAATTTTAGGCATTTAAAATCATCTCAAATTTCCTCGGTTTGCACTGTGAGGAAATGTCAAAAAGGGCATGTCTGTAAACTATGATTAAGAACTTATTTTTCCAGGTATGTCCCACTTACAAAAGCAAAGGCTTTGAGACCTGAATTTCTCTTCTGTTAGTGTCAGTAGGTAGTCAAGTGCTAAAATGAGTGGTTCTTCCCATGTCTTGGAATCATGTTGTAGAGGAAAACTAGACAGGAACCAGGAAAAAGTTATATTGTATGCCTGCAAGTCAGGGTTACCTATACTGTGTATTTGGGACAGATGTTTGGAGGGTTTTGAAAAAAGCTTATATGATGCTGGAAATGCCAGAATCCGTCTACACAGCTCATGTTAAACTGTGAGGGGGGGAAAAAAGGGGAGAGGTGTTTGAAAGTGTTTTTCCAGAGCGTAGTACAGGTTCAGAGGGCGAGGAGGATAAAATCGGGCTCCCTAGTGATAAGCTCTGGGGCTCATTCCAAGCTCCAGCAACCCCGGCCTAAGTGAGACTCGGGAAGAGTCCTGTGCTGGGGTGGGTGAGGGGTAGCGAGTGCCGCGTGTAGGGAGGCTTGGGCTGACCAGGAGATGGCAGGTGGCCTCTGCATAAGGATTAGAGGAAAAGCTAATAAAGTGAATGATGTTGGTTTTGGGGTTTTTTTTGGCTCTGGGTTGGCAGAGTGCAGCTTGGGGGGTGATGAGCTCCCAGTTGACTTCGAACTTGTTCAGGATTTGCTGCTGCAGCTGAATGCACATAAGTCTGTGGGGCCCATGGGTTTCATCCCAGGGCACTGAGAGAGTTGGATGATGATGTTGTGAGACTTGTCAGTTATTTGTCAACGATTTTGGGAATTTGGAGAGGTCTCAGTTGACTCAAACCTAGCAAATATTATTTGCCCTGTTTTCAAGAAGATGAAAAAGGAAGACACTGGTAATTATAGGCCTGTCAGTCTCATTTCGTTGCCTGAAAACCATGGAGAAAATTATTCTGGGAGTTGTTGAAAAACACTTCAAAGACAGTGTGGTCATCAGCTAAAGCTAACACAGGTTCATGAAGGGAAAGTCAGTCCTTACTAACAAGATTACCACATAGGTAACATTACCGTCTTTCAAGATTACCACGTAGTGTTCAAGGGGAAGGTGGTGAATGTGTGGGGTTGTGGGGTTTTTGTTCTGTTTTTAGCAAGATTTTTGATACTTTTACAGTATCATTCTGAACAAAATGTCCACCATAAAGCTAGACATGTACACAATATGATGGGTGAACAGCTGGCTGAAGGGTCAGGCCAAAGAGTTGTAGTAAATGGGGTAACATCTGGCTGGCAACCAGTCATTAGTGCTGTACATCAGGGTTCAGCTTCATGGCCAGTTCTTTCAGTGTTCCTATTAACGACCTGGACACTGGAGTTGAGGGCACACTAAGTCTGCCAACAGTGCTAAATTAGGAGATGTTGATTCCCTTGAGTGTAGAGACTTGAACAGAGAGCTCTTGATAGATTAGAGCATTGGACAATTAATTGGTGCAGTGAACTTGATCCCAGGGAGGTTCGGGGTTAGATTTGGTCCTCATTTGTGGTGTTGGCTCTGCTTCTTTCAGGAAATCTTGTTTTTAACTGAGATGAATGTGAGGCTCTGATTGTTACTAAATGTCTGAATTACAGCAGAAAAACTTCAGTTTATGCATACAGCTCATTGTTGGGCTGGGGTAAAAAAAGTCTGAATGAACAGTTCAGATGCAAATATGCTTAAAAAGCAAAGCCAGGTATGACACAGAAGGATAAATAAATTTTATTTTACCAAAACCAATTACAGTTTCTAATGACTGTAATGATGTTTGTCTGTAATATAGATAGATTCATATTTTAAAAAAAAAAATCTGTTGTGAAGTATATCAGTGCCTTTCAAGGGATCCTTAAATGAGAACTAATAATGCTGTTTGTAATACTAATACTTTCTCAGTGTTTGCCTTATCCACGGTGTAGGTAGGTGCAGAACGCTGCAAATTTCAAAAGACTTTTTAGTGTGTATACTTGGTTAAGGCCATTTTTTTGTTTGTCATCATATTTGAAAAAGAATGTCATACCACAGATGCTCATATTAGAAACTGAGTAGAAATAGCATTAGAGACTATTAAGAAGATGAAAACAGAATCTTTAATACAGTTGAAGGCAGCAAGTAACAACAGCTTGAAGTAACCCCTTTACTCCTCCCCAAACTACATCTAGATACTATGAAAACAGTTCTGCTGAACATGGGAATAATCCTCTGAAAGAGCTGTAGTAACCTAAAACTGTAAGCAAAACCAGTCAAATTTAAGGAATTGTGTTTTGCTCTGAAATGGGCCATTCCCCTGTACACAGGCCTCGGTAGAAGATTGCAGCAATGGCTATTTTTTTATGTAGTATAGACATAAATTTTTTTTCTCTTTTCTTTCCAAAACAGTCTTATGTGTTTTCAGTTTCAAGTGTCATCCTTTAGGCTTTTTTGGTCCAGGCAAGGGAAGAGGTAATTCAGTTTGAGCAGGGGTTCCCTTTTGACTATACTGTGCAGACTCATAAATCAAAACTTTTATTGTTTTAACTTACTGTTCACGTTGTCTTACTTATGTGTGTTTCCAGATCACAAAATTTGTGCAAGACAGACACAGAGCAAGAAGGAATCGGCTTAGGAAGGATCAACTTAAGAAACTTCCTGTACATAAATTTAAGAAAGGCAAGTGGATCATTCTTTGTCTAACTGATTAGATGCCATTGTTTTTAACACTCAAAAAAACCTCTAAATTGAGGAAGTATGTAGTTTTGGAGAAAATTTTGAATACACTTGAAGTAGAGTTTGGAGTGAGAGCACACAAAAAGTTTGACTTGACCCTGTTCTCGCTGAAATAGAGGAGTTCTAACATTTCTTAAATGGAAGCAGAGCAGGCGCCATATGCAGACCGGTGGCTGAGAAATAAAATGTTGCTTAATATACCACAAACTCAGTATAGAAATTCCACAAAGCTTCCTTGTGCTCTCCTTAACACTGACCACAGCAGTCAGTGTGATCCATTATTTCCATTATTTGGACTCCATTCGGAGTACTGTGTCCAGCCCTGGAGCCCTCAGTATGTGAAAGATGTGGACCTGCTTGAGCGGGGCCAGAGGAGGCCATGAGGATGCTGGGGGGGCTGGAGCACCCCCGTGTGAGGACAGGCTGAGAGAGTTGGGGGGTTCAGCTGGAGAAGAGAAGGCTCCAGGTAGACCTTAGAGCGGCCCCCCAGGGCTGAAAGGGGCTGCAGGAAAGCAGGGAGGGACTCGTCATCAGGGGGGAGGGATAGGACAAGGGGGAACGGTTTTAAACTGACGGAGGGAGATTTAGATGAGATCTAAGGCAGAAATTCTTCCCTGTGCAGGGGGTGAGGCCCTGGCACAGGCTGCCCAGAGAAGCTGTGGCTGCCCCCTCCCTGGAAGGGTTCAAGGTCAGGTTGGACGGGGCTTTGGGCAACCTGGGCTGGGGGAAGGTGGCCCTGCCTGGGGCAGGGGGTGGCACTGGGTGGGCTTTGAGGTCCCTTCCAGCCCAAAGAGTTCTATGATTATCTGTCTGGAAACTGTTAAATATTAGTGGCATATAAATTGCCTGACATTGTAGAGTCTACCAAAACTGTAAACCCAAAACTATTTATTGGGTATGATTTATCTGGTTCTCCAGAGGAGTGGTCCTTTTGTTCAATTGCAATACTTCTTTGAGGGCAGGAGCAATTCAAATTTAATGTCAGATTACTTGCTATTGTGATTCTTTTTAGTGATTAATTTTATGCAATGTCCAATGACAAGATGAGAAATACAGCTGTAGTAAGTGACTTTATTCAGTAAAATAGAAAAGCTGCCTTAAGTCCTTCTCTGTTGTAGTCTACTCCTTAAAAGTAGGAAGATGTGCTACTTCTCCATTTTTTTTTTAAATGTGTTACCATTTTACCATCTGATCAGTCATTCATACAAGCTATGGTATGAGAAAAGGTGGGAGAAGCACTTAATTGAAGTGATTGATTTTACTAAATGACACGTGTCAATAGAGAACATGTTTGGCAAGGCACAAAGACTGTGTTAGGAGATATGCCTGGGTTCAAGGATAGAACCACTTACTGTTCTTTGCCCTTTGTAAAGCCAACCTGCATTATTGATGATACTGCTCTCACTTTGTGCAAAGCAGATGTTCAGTTTAAGCAGATAGAGTATTTGTGCAATGTTAGTCAACCTCATAGGAAAAAGAAAAGAAAGTGTTTTCTTCTGCAGGGTTGCCTCAGCCTTGCTATAATGAGCTATTGCTGTAGATTTGAAATTAACTCTAAAAAATTATCTTAAGCCAATAAAGCTAATATTAATTTTGATTTCTCTTATTGATTACCTATGAAATCTAATTAGAATGAAAATACAAAGTATATTATTTTGTACTTTAAAGACAGATTTGCAAGGGAAAAGTTGCTTCAGGAAAGTCAGTTAATGCTTTTTTCAGTTAATTGTGTGCATCTGTAATAACTGTCTCAGAATTATGTGACTAAGTAGCCAGTGTGTGAAAATATCTTATTGCTATTTTCCTCATTCTCCTTCCTCTTTGCTTTTGCTGAATTTTACACAATATGAATTGTTTGGAGCTCGGTCACTCATTGTAAAGTAAACCTGGCTATAAACATCCAGGTATTCAGTGGCTTATGAAAAACACAACAAAAAACCTGTTTTTCCAACTAGGATTTTAGTGTCTTTAAGCAAAAGATCACTTTGGTTCTACTGCTGTGAAATTAATCCCTTATATTACTTTCTTTAAGTACTTCTACTAAAAGGACAAGATTTGACCCAGTACTTGCAGTATGTTACTTTCAGCAATTACAGTAAAAATGTATTGCTTCGTGCTTCTTCATGAAAGGTAGGATTTCTCAAGGCGTTACTGTGAAACGGTTCACAGCAGTCGTCTTGATGACATGTCCATTACCTTTTGCTTTGGAGGATACGTGAAGGTAACTCATGGACTCTAATCCTGGTTTTAGGAATGCTAGATTTTCTGCTGTCTCAAGTGTATTCTTAAAAATCTGTATTGAAACATTGGTCAAGTACTGCAGCTAAGACCCTATAGATACTGGTTCTTATTTCTTGCACTGCTTTTGGTGTCATGAATCACTGGCTAATAAGTGGTTTCATTGTACTGCAAAATGTTTTTTAAGGGATAGCTGGCTTTAGTGGATTTCTGAAATTTAATAGGCTGATAGGCAAACGATGATGCAATGAAGGTGATTGTTCTGCAGGGGTAATTGCACTCTAACATACCTAAAGAATTGTTAATACAGAAAATACATGAATCATCTTGAAATAGGATTTGAGTCAAATACCACTGTAATGCATGGGAACTTCTTGCTGATTTCAGTAGGCTTTAGATCAGGCACTCAGTGTTTCTGAAATGAGTAGAGAAGCAGTAACAAAGGATGTGGCATTGAGTGTCTCTGCAAGCCCTGATCAACGAGCCTTGCCTTTGGATGGTTCCACAGAAAGAAGCATCTGCTATGTCAAAACCTGTTTTCTACACTGAAACAGTTTTGGGGCAGTTGTTGTGTTGTGGTTCCTTACAAATGGGTTACATTTCGGTAATAGAAAAGTCAGTGGGAGTTGATATCTTCTGTATAATGTCTTTATGACAAAGTGAACACACCAAAAAAGACAAATCCATTTAATGTGCCTGTAATTTGATCATTAGCAAATTGAAATATTCTGAAGAATGATAGCTTAGAAAAAATACAGGTTAGAAATTTTGTGAATTGGTACATATTGTAGAATTTATTTACAGAAATATTCAATTGTATTTCCATGGCAGCTTAAATTTACACTAAAATGGAATCTGGGCCAAGAATGAAAAGATTTTTAGATCTTAGACTGTAACATCATTGCAGTTAAGGTCTCACTCCATAAAGAAAGTATCATAAAGATAGAGATGTCTGGGCATATTATTAATAAAAATGAACGAAGTAATTTTTTTCTACATTGTGTAGAAATTAGGATCCTAACTGAGTGGTTAGATACCTGGTAAAGAATGCAGAATTTGGGAGTTGCTACATCCACAGGACTAGAGCTGCTTGGTTGGATGTTGAAGTAGGAAAGCTGAACTTCAAACAGTCAGCTTTGAAATGCTTTATCTACATGTGGAATATAGCTCTGACATATGTGATAAATAAGCTGTAAGAGTATGTGTCATTTTAAGCAAATATGTATTTTGAAGTATTGTATATATCTTTATATGCCAGTTAATACTTAAATCTGTTTCCCACTATCATTCAATCGTATCTCAGTGCCTTTTAAAAATCTGCTCCAGAGTAAGTGCAGTTCTGCAGTTTACCACGTATCCCTAAATTGACTCTTCTTTCCCTGCAAATGGGGTTATAACTGATGTAGTTACTGTTCATTATAGACCCATCTGCTTGACTGCACAGCTCAGTTATGGTCTAATAGAGAAAACAAGTCTGAAGGTCTAACAAAGTATTGACACAGTTTTATTTTTGTGTTTTTCATTGTTCACAAGTACTTGTATGTGTGGATGAGTAAATTGTGTTTCTGAGAGATCTTTTTTTTTTTTTGGTATGTGCCAAGTAGTTAGAAGATAACTTTGCTTACTAAACACTTCTCATGCATAGTTTAAGCAAGATACTTTATTTTGCAGCAGTTTCCATACTTCATCCTTTCCCCACTTTTTGGTGGTTCTGAGCCAGCTTCTAAGATACAGTAATGGGTATTTGAGAAAAGGATGTCTGCAAATGTCCTTTTAAACAGGAGATGTTGTGTTCTTTGCGGGGGGTAGTCATGGAGGTTAAGCTGAGGTGGAGGCCAGGCTGCAGGCCTGGCAGAGCCGTCCTACAGCTCCCAGCACTGAGGGGGGCTGGCACTGGGGTCCTGCTGCTGTGTGGCCTTGCTTCCCCTCCCCAGTCCTGGCAAGGAGTCTGGGCAATAGTGGTAATTATCTCCTGTGGCATAGCGGTAATTAGCTCCCCGGGTGACCTGTTGAAGCGCAGCAGCTGGGCTGTGCTTGGGGCAGCCGCTGGGTGCGGCCTGGGGATGGCCACGGGTCCCTGTGCAGGGAGATACCGAGACCAGAGAAATACCTTTGCAGTGAGACATAGGCTGTCAGGTAGGTCTGTGGCCTCCGTGTTGGAGAACTTCATTATCAGCCTCACTGAGAACTTGATCTGTATTTGCCTGCCTAGGAATGGGTGTGATGCTTTACCACAGCAGCATTTTCTCCGGGAGGTGCTGTCGTTGGTTTGCCAGGGGATGCCTTAGCAAGCCAAGCCCCTCGAGGACAGTGGCTGTCATTCTTCAGGACATTCTTGTACACCTTGAATGACTAGTGGGGAAAAAGACAGATGTATTATGTGAATGTTGTTTGTTTTTTTTCTCTGAGAGATGATGCCCTTGACAGCCCTGACTGATGGTTAACTTTCATTTCTGTGTTGAACATGGTGATAATAATGTGCTGATTATAAATGATACTATAAACATCATTTGAGTAATAAAAACAACTGAGAAAAGGAATGTCATAGCAAAAGAGGAAGTAATTTTTTTAAGGAAAGCTACAGCTGAAGTACTTCATTGTGTTACATTAGACAAAACCCCTTACTTCAGTGATGGAGGTCTGACAGTATGGACTCTCTCTGATCTCTCTTCCTACCTGCCCACGAGTTTGTCTTCTCTCTCCTG